TTAATGCTGAGTGTTGAAGAGAGCTGATATTAATTTCTTGAGAAAAGATGGTACTTGATATTCCTACGAGCTCTGATTCATGGTTTTGTTTTAGCTTCTTATTAGGTTGATAATTATATATACTTGTGCTTCGTGGTTTTTGCTTCATGGAGTCCAGACTGCCAGAGCTGTCAGGAGGAGATGTCTCGGATCTTGGGTTCTTCCACTTGTTAGAAACTGTTCTGGGGAATATTGAACAGGAAACTAACAGGTTGGAAGTTCACATTATTCTGTTTTCCTTCTACTGGTGTTGAGAAGGAGAAAGGAAAAGGAGGGTCCCCTTGTGAAATTCCTGTTATCCTGCTTTGAAATCAAGACTACCTCTAATGTAGAAGGAGATATTTGGAACCAGGCCTAACGCAGGTCTTAAATGCTCTGAGTCATGGAGATCCCACAGGTTCCTCTTAGGCTTCTCTCTGTTTTCCAGATGTGACACAGCTTGCAGTGACAGCTTACCCACACTGCTGCCTATTCCAAAGGAAATTGAACTGTTTGGTGGCTTCTCAAATGTGTAATTAGTGCCTGTTGGGAAAGACATGTGCAGGGTTGATATTCAGAGGATAAGAGGTGTCTGCTGGATTCCTAGCCACTAATAAGAGAAATTAGCATACTTCTGGATAGCTAAACTCTGCCATATCTTGTTGTAAGATCTTTCTTGTTGTGTTTCTGCAGTTACTAAAACATGTCCTGGTGGTTCAAAGCGGCAATATCCACCCCACAAGGCTGGAATATTTCCTAAAAGGGCACTGCTCTCCCTGAAAACATATCTTGAATTTCATAGAAAACACCTCTAGCTAACAGAGGTTAAACAGAGCACTTCAAAGCTCTCTCTTTCATTTCTTTTGGGTTTAAACTTGTTTAGTTACTGTAAATGGGACATTAGCAAGAGTTTCTACCTATGTGATTCGCTGTTTTCTGTCCTCTGGTTATGGTGTGAATATTAAATTCAAATCTTGCAGAGAGGGAAGCCTCAAAGCTCATTTTTTAACTGTTATCTGCAGCAGAATATCACAGTGGCTTGGTTAAATCACTGGTCTCCATTTAAGAGGACACAACAGGGACACAGTTGTCTCTGCTCTAAACTCTGTCTCAAAGAGCTTAGACTTTCTGCAATAAAAGGTGAAATCAAACTGCAGATCCATGTTCCAAACATCTGCAATTTAGAATAACCTCTAGGGCTTGCTGTTTTTGCAGCTGTTATTGAATAGGTGAATTGTGAAACTCAGTGTAGCTCTACGTTACCTTTATCCATCTCCTCGAGCCTCAATATTTGAATGTAAATAGCTCCAGATTCAGAAAGCTGTACCAACACTCCTCATTTAGTTTTATTCACTGCTGACAAAAAGTTTAACACTATTCTTGTGCCAGTCTGGCCTTCTCCCAACCCACCTTCCACCCCTGTTTTCAAATACCTCATGCTGGATCTGGAAGTGAAAGTGCTTGCCTAATTATCTCTATTTTCAGCGCTGCAAATTAGGATGTTTGTTGAACATCATATTGCAGATTTAGTTTGTCCAGCTGATTCATTTTAGCACTAAAAGTCCTGTGCATTTTCTTCTCGCCCTCAATTTTTTGTCATTTTCTGGTTGCTCAGAAAACCCATAATGGTTTAGAAAGCCACCAAATATTCCACTTGGGCATAGCTTCTTCAGTGGTGGGCAAACGTGGACACATCTTCTACTCCTCTTAAAAGCCACCTGATCCCCAGGAATCAAGGCATTTGAAGAATTATTTAATTTTTATGTGAATTCATTCCTTTGATGTGTTGGGGGTTGTTTGGTTGGTTTTTGCTTGACAATGAAGTCCATGTGTTCACAGAAGATATTCAGCCTGAGGCTGCTGTTACTGCACCACTGAAGTCCTTGGAAAGGAACAAACCCACAAATCAGATCTCAGCTTTGCAAGACTGAGTGGATACACAGGAGCACAGAAAGCATCCCAAGCTGATTGTACAATGCACTGCAGAGGGTTTACCCAAAATGCTGAATGCTGATGTGCAGGATAAGCTGCTGCCTGGGCTGAAGCTGCTGACAGCCACTGCTGAGGGTGCAAAGTGAAGGTGTGACTCTCCACACTGCCTCCCTGGGGTGTGACTGCCTCACACTGAGCTGAAAGGAGATGTCTGTGTGAAAAACTGTAACCTGGAATTCCAGAGCCTTTCCTTAACATCCGTGGGGGAAGGAGATAAATCTTCTCAGCCAATGACTGAAAGAGAACTTTTCAAAGTTCTGTTGCCCTTAACCAATAATTTAATGATTTCAGGGTGTGAGAAGCCTGGCTTTTAATCCCCACTGCCTTTGTGTCCTCACCCTGTCCCTGGGCAGCAGCATCTCCAGGTGAGTAGTGCCATGGTAAACTCTTTTATGGGAAAATCTGTTCCTTCAATGAAGGAAATCTGTTCCTTAGCAATGAAGGAAGAATGTTAGGAACTAGGAAAGATGTAGATCTTGTCAGACCCTGTGTACAACTTTTTTGGGGGTGGAAAGTGTTTGGAACAGTGCTTTCCACAATGCCTTAAAAATAAAGAAACTCGTCTTTTATAACTACAGCAAAACACAGGTGTTTGAAATATTCCCTGCACCCTGTGTGTGATGTTATCAGAACTTTGACTGGTGATGATCTGCATTTCTGTCTGTCCTCAGTCTGTGGCAATGTTCCAAGAGGCAGTGCTATCAAAACAATCTAGAATTACCTGTGACAAGTGACAATTGCATGGGTGGCACAAAAGCCTTTTAGAAATAAACATCATTTATACAACAGACATAAATACATGTTTTAATGAAGAAGTGATTCACAATGATAACATTATTGACTTGTTAAGATTAAGCAGGTCTGCCATATGCTGCCTAGTGCTTTAGATGGTTTCAAATTTATTTTTATTTTTTTAATTTTTGCATATTAACAGCAGATGTTGAATTTAAAAGGATCCAATAACTGAGGGAAAATAATTCCAAAGCTTAGCATTGAAGATTTTGTCTTGTTAATGATTTTAAATACTTTGTATATAGTGTATATTGGTGATACAGCTCAGAGCTAACTCTTGCACATAATATTTGAACTATTTTCATCTTACTTCCTCAAGAGCTGCCTCCAGGTGCTGAGGAGTGTGTTGATTGAACACTTGCCCTGGAATTGCATTCCCAATCTTTCGATTATTTTTATAAACAGACCCTTTCACAGGTGCATCTGCCCTCAAACTCTCCTGCCTCCAGACTGTACACAACTGCTCTGCTCCTGTGGGCCTCACACCAGAGGTTCATCAACATGCTTGGCTTGCCCCTGTGGCACTGCAGGGCAGAGGGGAGGGAGCAAAAGCACAATCAAAAGTGCACTGAAGTGCCACACCACAAGGGAGGGACCACAAGAAGGCTTGAGTGACTCCTACATTCACACAGGACCACTTCTGGGTGACTGCAGATTTAGCCTTTGGGTGCTTATCCTTTGCCTCAAGTCCAAAAAACATTAATTTTTTCTTTCTTTCTTTCTTGCCCTGCCTCCAGGAGCCCAGGATGGGCTTGGTTTACAGCACAGTCTGCTGCCACAACCCCCTGGGGCTGACAAACTGCAGCCAAGGACTGTGCTCAGCAGGACAGGCAGGTCCCATCACCGCGCTGGAAAGCAGAGAGCTTCTCTTTGCAGTCCTGCTTGCTGCTGCTGGAAGGTCTCCAGTGCCTCATGGAAAGGTAGGAGTTGTAGGAAATGTAGATGTAGGGATAAAAAAGACATTATCCCCTTGTTGTTCCCTGCAGAGAAAAAAAAAAAAGAAACATGGGGAAATTACAACATGTTAACTAAAGGGTGGAGAGCTCTTTATCGGCTGCAAACAGATAGCAGTGATCCCAAATTGATTTCCAATGGCTCAGAGACACAAAGCAGGCAGCTCTTGAGTTCTTGAGTGTGTGTTTTCTCGTTTATATAAATTACTAGCTTCATTAACTTAGTTTGACAAAGCAGGCTGTAGAAAGGGAAAGTAAGCAACAGCAGGCAAGAGAGTCAGTCTTATCTGCTTCTTGTCAAGGAGAATAAACTTATAGATCCCAAAGGGACATAACTCCCAATGAGATATATTTGAGCTTTCTACCCTTACCTTAACTGAAGGTAAAAGTTTGTGTAACATTTCTTCATGCAGAAATGGCAGAGGCAGCTGTGGCTTTACCACCAGCACACTGTTTTTCTCCCTACCCTCTTCTCATCTGGTGGGCAGATTGATTGATGCATTGTCCAGTTCTGTTCAATTTTGCATTTTTTTTCCCCAGCTGCAGGTGTGCCATTTTCAGCTTTTATCTGTACCCTGCATCATCTTAGACATCTAATTATAGCTCACCATCGGCCCCTCAGCAAGCAAGGTTTGCTCAGCTGGAACTGTGCAGAGCATCTGGTGTTCAGCTGGTATGAAAAGTACCAGCCCATCCATCAGCTGGGAAACACTCACCATGCTCAGGTGAGCAATGGCCTTATGGCAGGATCTGCTTTTGCCCACCCCAGGTAAATTGCCATTCCCCAAACGTGGTACAAATATAGCCTTGAATTTCCTTCGTCCAAGCACAAGGGAAATTTATTTAAAGCCATGCATTGCACCATCAAGTTAGTCCTTAGTGACTGCTCTGAGCAGATATTCTCAAAGTGGGGGAGAGACCAACTCTGCCTGACCCTTAGTGAGGTTTAATTAAGTGTTTTTCTTTGGCTGCCTGATTTCAGCTTTAGTGACCTTTGGTCACTGTCTAGTCTGTTTTTAGTTCCTGATCAAATACTGGCTGACTTTTTTCTGTGTTTCTTAAGGGCACTGCCTTTTAATACAAGTCCCATGTTTTACCATAAGGAATAGCTTGTGTTTGACAAAGCATTAGTGCAGCTGCCCTGCCCTGTGCAAGTCCCAGCTTACACCTGGGCTGCAGTGTAAGCAAGAAACAATGAAAATCCTTCCAGGGAAACTTAATATTCATCAAGTTCTGAACCAGGCTACTTTATAAAATCAAAGCATGCAATAACTTCTTAAATTGTAATTAAAAAATACACCACCAAAAATACCTTAGTGATGAGCCCTGGTCCCTCAGAGAACCACAGCAGCTCCCTGGAGAGGGGTGGAGATTAGCAAACAAGTTTCTCATGACAGCTTTTAATAGAATTATTTGCATAACTGGATTAAAGAAGTGCATCAACGTGCCTCTCAATCTTATTATTGTTTATTACTCTGTATACCAGAGGAAACAGTAATTAAATTGAGCAGGGAGTCCTGGGGCTCGATTCAGAGGAGGGACTGAGCGAAGGTGGCTGTGCCTACAGAACCCCCAGCCCGTGGCTGGAATTCCTCTGTGCACCATGCAGGGAAAGCCTGGAAAAATGGCAGTGCAGGAGCAGAGGTGGAGCAAGGGGGCTGCAGAGACAGAGAAGGAGCTGCAGGAGTCTGTGGCTGGAGGATGCAGATCATTCCAGGGTGCACCTGCAAAACCTACTCGTGAGAGCTGCCTGAAGCGAGGGGCAGGCTCTGAGCCCTCTGCTGCAAGAGCACATCCTGACAGACTGAAGGCATGGACAGGTTAAACCAGCACTCAGAGGAGGGTGCCTGCTGTGCTGGGCACTCCTGAGGACCTCTGTGAGATGGCAGACCCTGGCTCTGCTCTAACAGCAGCTCCAGAGGCTGCTGGAAAAGAGATGTTCCCAATGCATCTGTCACTGTGGGAACAATGTGTGCACTGGAGAGTCCTCCATTTCTGTCTCAAGGAAACAAAACAGAGACACAAATCCCTTGTTTGCTTCAGGCAGCTCTCTGCAGTCACCATCTTCAGCCATTAACATTCAAGAGAACATTAATAACTCAAACTGCAGTGCTGGCAAATGAGAGTAAAAACAATGTGTAAGATGTGCAAGAAGGAAATGATCCCAGGCCTGCTGTGGTTAAGAAAGTCTTCCCAGTTGCTCCACTGGCCTTTGGATCACTCTGGATTACAGCACTGTCTGTATTTAGTGCAGGAGGTTGTGCACATTATGGGCCACCTCGAGTATTAATTAAGCTTTACAAACTGCCAGATTAACATAATTCCACAAAAGAAAACCCTCTGAAAGTCAGGATTTATTTGTTATTTGAAGCTGCTTTTTGCAGTGTTGTTCCAGTGCTCTCTTGGTGTCCTACCCTCTATGGTCTTCAAAAGAGTCCTGAAGAAAAAAAAAGCTGAAAAGTTTATGAAATTTGGTTGGTTTGTTTGGAAGTGGTTGGGGTTTTTTTGTCTTTTCAAAATCACCAATTATTCCAGTAGCTTGCTATATTGAGCTTGAAGGAAAAACAATTTCCTGAAATTCAGCAAAGCAAAACATTCTTTAACAGGTCATTCAAATCTTTAAATCAAGGTAAGCAAGGCAGATACACTTAGAGGGAATGCACATAATGCCCAGTTTAAGAGGACCTCCTTCATTCAGTGTTTCTAGTGTTTCACCACCCTCACAGTAAAGAATTTCTTCCTAATAGCTAACCTAAATTTCCCCCCTTTCAATTTGTACCCATTACTCCTTGTCCTATCCCTACAAATTCTAATTTCTTGTCCTTTCACTACAGCTTCAATATCCTCATTACTGGCAGCAAAACAACTTGAAGTTTTAGGGAATTTGTGAAATGGGACTCTGGGTAGATATGCAAATTTAATTTCTACCCAATTCAGAGCACTCCCTCACTGAGGTATTCAGGTTTCACACTCATCCTTGCTTCTCTCCGTCCCCAAAACCCATGTCTGTACAGAATAATATCCAAACTAGATAGGAAGGATCCCTGTATCTTATTGTGGGAATATCTCATTGCCTCCAACTCCAGTTGAAGAGTAAAGACATTTTTTAGACATGATGTCTGGCTGTCACTCTCCATTAGAAGTGGAGGTGCTGGGGAAGGAAAGCATGGGAATTGTGTTGTTATAATTGAGCCCTGAAGACAAATGTCAGGAATGAAGACTAATTAGAAGTGGAAAAGACTTACAACGTTACTGTACAAAGGAAATGCACTCCCACCAGGTCTCGTTTACAGCACCACACTGGCCATAATGCAGTTTGTAGTGGGTCCAATTTTCTTCTTTCTCCAGGCAAACATTTTCTTCAGCTCTCCCCTGAAGCTGTCGTGGAGCCAGGCATAGAGGAAGGCGTTGGTACAAGCAGACATCATCGCAAACCAGTGGCACAGCAACTGGATAAAGTTGAAGTACTGCTTGTCAATCAAGCTGATGTCTATGTCCTTGATCACGTTGAAGATGTGCAGAGGCAGCCAGCAGACTCCAAAGGCTGCCACCACCAAGACCAGCAAGCGAAAAGTCTTTCTCCTCCGTGCGCGGTCCCACTCAGCCTGGCCCTGGGTGACGTTGCCTGGCACCACTCGGTTCTTCAGCTTGACCGAGATCCTCAGGTAGGACAGGGAGATGACAGCCAGGGGCAAGACGTAGGTGATGATGAGAGTGCTGTAGGCGTAAGCCAAGCGGTCTCTTTTCATGTGGAACCAAAACTCCTCGCAGATGGAGAAGTCCAGCTCCGGGAACTCCGCGTGGTAAGTGTGGACCAGGGCCGGGGCAGCCAAGGTGCAGCTCAGCAGCCAGATGGCAGCCAGGATGTAAGCACAGAGGGGGATGGTGAGCCTCCTGCGGAAGGGGTACACCGTGGCACAGTACCTGTCCACAGCTATGACGGTCAGGGTGAACACCGACACGAACACCGTCACGGGCTGCATCAGGAACACAAAGTAGCACATGAAGCGCCCGTACACCCACCCCCGCGGCTCGAAGGCGTACGCCAGGGTCAGGGGCACGCAGGTGGCACACATCAGCATGTCTGAGAAAGCCAGGTTGCCCACGAGGAAGTTGGTGACGTTGTGCATTTTTTTTGTCTTGCAGATAACGTAAATGAGAAGGTAATTCCCGATGACACCGATAAAAACCACCAGGGAGTAGCAGGGGATGATTAGCGGCTTGAAGGACTGAACAAACTGGAGACCTGAGAATAAATTGCTGGCGTTGCTGTGAATCGCAGAGAGGAAGCTTTGGGAGGTTAAATTGTCCGAATTCATCGTTTTCCTCCTTTTGTTGTCTGCCGTCAGCTGAGTGAAGTAGTTACCGCTGCACTGCTCCCTCTCTCAGTCAGGGGATAATGAATGGATTACTGGCTGTCCAGAGGTTACCACATGGATAGTAAACAAGCATCCGTGAAAGCAAAAGGTGAAGTTGTAATCCTCGAGAGGCAGCTTTCAGCAATTCCTAGGAAAAATCAAATACAACCGATTTCCATTAAAGTCCTCCCGTATTTACCATTAAATCCAGGGTTTGACAGCATGCCACTTAATAAACATTTAATGCATGAGTACTTACTGCTGTGGAGTTTTAATCCCATATGGTTTTCCTGTGGATGCCAAGAAGTGCCCTAGATGTCTGTGTGCTGCAAATCCAGGAGCGTGTGTGTGTGTGTGAGAGAGAGAATACACGAGTGAGAAAGAGGGAGATGCGCATTTACAAGCTAAGTGCAGAGCAGTGTTTTTAAACAGTCTTACTACCAGGTCAGGACAGATTTGTGCAGAAGCTTTGATCCCTATTGGCTGCCCTGGGTATTGCGTTGCTCTCTGCGTGGTTCTTGCTGATAGTAATTAGTTCTAGAATATCCTTTCAAAAATTCCCTTCTCCCTCCAGTGCATCTGTAATTGCCCCTCACAGCTAAAAATCAATTTATATTCATTAACGTGAGCCTGCACAGTATCTAATCCCAGATTCACTTTGCCACAGCTGCCAGAGTGCCCAAAAATCTACCTGTGAATTTGCTGCTATAGTGTGACTGTGAAAGAGAATTTTAATAATATGCTGAAGGCAAATAAATGCTTATGCCACTAGAGGGTCTCAGCTATATACCTGGTGAATGCAGTTAGGCTTAGAAATGTGCATTTAGCATGTAGCACAAAGGAACTTATTTTATTTACATTTGTTTTCCAGTGGTGGTACAATGTTTGCTCACCCACTGTGACTATTTTCAGTAGGATTTACACACCTTTAAAAGTAAAAAAAAACCCATATGTGAGCATCTGAAAGGAAATACTGGTATCCAGACAGATTAGCTGTTTACCTGCCATGAACTACAGAATACTGTTTCTAATATTGCAGCTACCCAAAAATATTGGGGTGTTTCTTCATTTCTGCAGCAGATTTGTTAACCTTTTCTGTACCTGACAACAAGCACTAACCAGTCTGTAAATCCATCTATACTTCTTTTGCTTGGTTCAGACATTACAAAGTGAAAAATCACCCATTCAACTCTTGCCTGTTGCTCTAATTCTCCCTTAACTCTTCTCCATCCCAATCTGGCATCAATACCTCAGCTGTTGAAAAAACAATGAAAATCCACAACATCCATTTGTACCAGCTGGGGAAACTAAAAAAATAAATGGAGCAGCCTAACTTGTGAATACTTCAGAGCAGGTAACATTGCTAGATTTTGCAAGGTACTCAGGGCATTTAGACACAATTTTAAATGCCATTTTATGTCCTAATCTGTTAGACTAAAGAAATATTAACCCACTATTTTCTATGAGACTCTGGGCAGAACCATATCCTTCTTTGGATTTGATGTAATTTGACATACATCAAAATTTACCATGGATTTAATTTCTGTCCTACTGCTTTCCCTAATCCTAAACCAGAAGCAATCTGGTGCAGCCCTTGCTCAGACTGGAGCCATTCTGCTTGTGATGGATGGGCATTTCAAACACGGAAGAACTGACTCTGTGCTGCTTCATCCAGGGTTAGATTGTGCTCTGGACTGGAACAGTGCTGTAACTCCAGCCTGAGGGGAGAACAGGCGTGTGGCCACAGTGCTCAGGAGTGCCATCCTTCATTCCATGCCTACCCACGACCCAGACTGAACCTGGGATGTTACAGCCCATTTCAGAGTCCAATCTCCCCCACCTGAGCTGGCTGGGACCCAGGGGAACATGGCACCTATCCACCTCTGCATTCCCAAATCCAGAACAGGAGAGAGACCTGAGGGGGGAGGCTGCAAAGAGGCAAGGAAAAAGGGGATTCCTATTGCTCTCACCACCCAGTGCAACCATGGCACTTGGTGATAAGCAGCATGATGCAGAAGTAATTCCCCAAACCCATAAATGCAATTGTTTCACTTAATGTCAGAGAAAAACATGGTCTGATTTAACGTAGGATCACAGTAGGCTTTGGGCATGGTCTCCAGTATAAGCCAAAAGACAGAGAAAAATGAGGGGGGGGTAAATGCAAATGGCCTTCAGGCTGCCACATCCTGTTGGAATTGCAAGGCTCATGCCAGGAAAGAAGCCTCACAATAATATCATTGCACATGTAGTAATTGAAAATTTCATTTTTAACTAAGCGATTTTTCTGCTTCATTCCTGAGAGCTGCAGAGTAGATCCAATAAATATCCACATGGTATTCCCAAGAAAAAAAGGTTTATGCTTCACTATGTGAGAATAAAAATGAAACACAGCATCTTCTAATGAAGCCTTCAAGGTCATCTTAATGCTCAGGTCACAAAAAACCTGTAACTAACCTTTTATTTTAAGCTGTATTGGTAAATCTTTCTGCATTTTCTCTTACCTTTAAATGCCCTTTTTTCACCTCTGAAACCAGCAACCAGCACACCGTCTGTTTGAAGGCTCCCACCTATTTCTGTCAGTGATTTTCTGTTCGTTTTGGCTTCAGGCAGAAAATTTCTTCAGTTCAGCTGTATCCTACAGCCAAGATCTGGAAAGACAATATTTAATAGAATTGAATAGAAAAGGTAGTCCAGCAATTTAGCCCAAAGAAATCCTCTTTCCTCCTTTTAAAACTGCAAATAATAGTCTGGCTTAGAATTTCCTGGGCTATCTGACAGAGTCCCTCCTGGACTGACTGTAAGTCTACTTCACACAGAGAATTTTCTCAGTAAAAGAGAAAAGGTCATGGGAACTGCATTCCTGTCGTGTTAGAACTGTTTTTGCAGTCCAAGGGTGTAAGGGTGTCACACGTAGGAACGATGATCAGTGTTCCTGAAACCCTGCTCTTCCCTGAGTCCATGGAGAACGTTGTCTCTAGAGCCAGACCAACACTCCCCACAAATGTTTCCCAGCTGAGCTTTCATAATCCCTCATGTTCCTGTCCAACCCTGCACAGACACTCTGAGTACAAACACTGTCAGATGCTTTCAGGCTTTACAGACAAAACATTTTCTTGTCTCATTAGTCTCACAGTTTCAGGTCTTAGTTTTCTATGTTCCTTTCTATTTGTCTTTTTTTTTTTTTTTTTTTTTGCATAAACAGGACTTCTTTTGCATCACAGAGCTCCTTTAAAAGTTCTTTCACATCCTTCCACGAATGTTCTGTGCAGAACAGATCAGGCAGCTCTTGTAAGAGCCTGCAACAAAAATAGATGCTTTGCCTATTTTGAATGATGTAAATATGAGGGTTCCTTTAGTAAATTACTCTTTTGACCAGCCAGGGAACAAGATTTTATTTCCCACAATAATTTCATGTCAGGTCATCCTGTCCCTCCCTCATTTAATCATATAAATGCAGCCTATCTGCCCCTGCTGTGGACTGAAACAGCACAGTTTCTAAACTCCAAGAACCACGTTTACAAATAAGGTTTGGGTGTTCTGGTTGGTTGGGAGTTCTTCCATTGTTCCTGCTGCTGCTTTTCTCAAATTCAAGGGACCAAACTTTGATAAAGACAGGGTTCAGTTTAAAATAATTCACTTTTTAGCTGAAGAGGAGCTTAACAACTTGAAGGAAGGGGATGTTTGAATTTAAGTCAAAACTTGCTTAAGGTTGCACACTAAATATAGAACAGGGGCTCTACATATGCATGGAATTCTTTGCCTACTGGGGAAAGTGACATGAGAAAAGTGAGTTGGTTCCTCAGATGGCAAAGATCATGTGCTGAAATAAAGATAACAACATAAAAACTGGGGAAAAATATAAGTGATTCCCTGGGAATGAGGGTGCCAGGTCACAATTAAACAGTGAAACTTTGAAAGTTTGAGGGAGAATGGGAGGAAAAACTTGTCATAAAAGACAGGATCAAGGTCACCTAATAATAAGAATTTTTAGTGTGGCCTAGGATGAAGTAAATTTTGTTGCAGGTCTGTACAATGAAGCAGGCAGTGCATTGGAAAGTGGAAGGAAAAGAAAATCTACTACTTTGTGAGAGATTCCAGGGTGAATTTGTCTCTACTTTGTTACAATCTCTGGACAATTTTCTTGCTATAAGTGTCTATTCACCAGAGCAGAATTGCTCTGTATTCTTTAAAAACACTAGGGAGAGTGGTAAACTCCAGGGCAGGTAAAGATGTACTTAAGCAAAGGAACAATATTAATGAAAGAGCAAATTCACCATGGGCAAATTTAGAGCAGAAAGTAGAACACTTCTAAGCAGGAGGGCAAAAAATTGCCCCTTAGAAGTGCTTGCTTTTGGAACAATCAATGTATTAGGGGGGATAAACCCCCTGCTTTTTTAAAGAAATCTTGATCCATTTATCACATGCATGTGGCCTGATTTCTTGCACGGGGCTGGAGCTTCAGGAGGCCCCTTTCTATCCTTCATCAACACAGACTTCGGACTGCACTCACCCCTACTTGAAAATAACTCCACTACCACATTTTTCAACAGTATTCCCATCGATAATGTTCAAAACATAGAATTAAAATGTATTTACATGCACACCCACACACATGGGTACAGCTCAGACCAAATCCTAAGACATTTCTAGTGCTCTTTGTTGTTCTTTGATGGGAAGATTTTTGCACTGGTGTCTGTGAAGATCAACTAGAACAGCACCTGAATATTTGCCCGATGAACTTTCCCTGTTGCTGATCTTGGTACCTGCTCAGAGCAGCTGATTCACAAGGCAGGGAGAAAGGCAGGGGGGGGCACAGTCACTGTAAAAACAGTTCAGCCACAAGGCATTTCAGTCAGTACAATCACTGACTCTTTTTTCTCTGACCTGCCTTCCTAAAAAAAATACTGCCTGGAGACTTGGTAAAACCAGGCTTGATTGCCCTACGTCACCATCCCTTTAAGATTTTCTTTGCCAGGTAAATCCACATAGGAAATAATGACCAAGAAAGGAGATGACCTGCTTTTTTTTGTTCTTGTGCTAAAGAAGAATTCTGCTGAAGAATAGTCTGGCTAACAAGTCTGACCATCTCTGAGTTGTCTGGACAGACATCAATAGAATTTCAGATTTTAATTACAAATCCTTCTGTAAACACAGCTCTGAAATGGGCCCTTTCCATGTTACAGTAAGAGAAAGTTGCTGAATTTAGAGTTCCTGTAGACTGGATCTGTAACACTAGGAAAACAAACCAACCAATCAAACAAACAAACCCATGGGGCAAAATATTTAGTCATATCTAAGCTAGAGGTTTCCTTCTTCATTTGTAACTGAATTCAGGCAATACTGCTGACACACCCTGGTAAAGTGTGCTTACTTTTTTTTTTATAACTCAGTCAAGACTAACCTGGGAAAAGGTATCTGAATGTCCCTGATTTAAAGGCTGTTACAAGGAAAGACAAACACGGAAAAGTATAAAGGGAGATTTCCATACCCACCAGATCCAACATTTCCTACTGCTCCAGAAAAACTGGCGTTTCTCCTGCGCTCCCAAGCCCCGAAGGGATGCAGAGCACAACGCCGGCACATGCCCCGGGCCAGCACAGACTGTGGGAACTGCCTGCCAGGGAGCTCTGCAGATGGAACGCTGAGCCCTGGAGGAGCTGAGTGCTGGAAGCGATCCCTGCAGCGGGATCAGGAAACTCCGGTGCTCTGGGCACTGGAAGCAATCCCTGCAGCGGGATCAGGGAACTCCGGTGCTCTGGGCACTGGAAGCGATCCCTGCAGCGGGATCAGGGAACCCCAGCGCTCTGGGCACTGGAAGTGATCCCTGCAGCGGGATCAGGGAACTCCGGCGCTCCGGGCACCGCAGACCGGCGGCTGCGGGGCAGGGCAGGATGCCGGGAACACCCACCTGCGGAGGGGCCAGTCTGAGCAGCAGCAGGGGAAAGTGCTGCCTGCCCCGTGGCACTTCTCAGAGCACCAGGGAGGAACACCGGGAGCAGCACCAGCAGTGTCCCTGTCCCTGCCCGCCGTGCCGGGAAGGGCCGCGTTCCAGCGCTCTCCAGGCGGGAGCGGCTCCTTCAGCACCGAGGACAGCGCCGCGACCCTGGACGGGCTGCTGAGCCCCTCGGGGTGCCGGGGCAGCCAGAAACCCCAAAGGCAAGGGCAGAGCCCTCAGAAACCCCAAAGGCAAGGGCAGGGCCCTCAGAACCCCCCCCTGCTCCTGGGGGCTCCCCCGGCACCCGCACAATATTCTGTGCCCACTGAAACCTTCCACAGGCAACCCATGAGAAACCATCAGAGCAGCAGTTACACTGAACCCCGCACCCACTGGGGGCCTCTCCCCAAGAACTAAAGAAGGGAAAAGCCTTTCCTGCTTCCTCCATGCCGTGGGTGAACCACAGTCGGCAGCCAAGCCCCGCACAGCCACTGGCTCACTTCCCTCCAGTGGTGTGGGGGAGAGAAGCAGAAGAGTGAGAAGACTCGTGGGTTGAGATACAGAGAGTTTAATAACTAAAGCACACACAAACAAGGCAGAGCAAGGAATTCACTCACCCCTTCCCGTGGTAGGTGGGTGTTCAGCCACGTCCAAGAAAACAGGGATCCATCATGTGCAACAGCGACCTGGGAAGGCAAACACCATCACCTCAAAAATACCCCTGTGGTCACTTGGGTTCAGCTGTCCCAGCTGTGCCTCCCCCAAACTCCTTGTGCACCCCCAGCCTCCTGAATGGTGGGGTGAGGAGCAGAAAAGGCCTTGACTGTGTGTGAGCCCTGCTCACAGCAACTGAAACATCCCTCCCTGTGTTATCAACACCTTTCCAGCTCAAACCCAAAGCACAGCCCCACACCAGCTACTGTGAAGAAAAGGAGCTCTACCCCAGCCAAACCCAGCACTTTGCATTATCCCAAAGTGCCCACCTACCCTGGTGATGGGAAAAGGGCAGAAGAGAGAGAAAGCCACCCAATGTTCTGTAGCCACCACATTGCCACAAGAAAACTTGCTGCTTTCATGGAACAGTGAGTTCAATTAATACTTGTCAAACAAAAAGGAAAAAAAAAAATAAAAAACCCCTAAAAACCACAAACAAACAAACAAACAAAAAAGAAAAACCCCAAAACAAAACAGAGGACCAACATCATCCCAGCTGCTCTTAGTTGTTTATATAAAGTAATAAAATCCAACTTCCATTTAATTAACTATCCCACTAACAACAATCTGCCCTGGAGCTTTGAAAGCTCTTAATACTAAAGGTTTTTTTCTGGAGGACTGTCATCTAGGTTGATTATAGTTTGCATAATAACATTATGTAGAGATAAGAACGCTATTTGGAATTGAGTTGTTCTGCTCTCTCATGCAAATTCATGTTTGAAAAAAAAAAGAGTAAGAGATATTGTACTTTAATAACCTACATAATCAGAATAAAACCTAACTTAACAGAACTTCTAATGAAGCCTTCTGTATGTCTTCAGCACATCTGTGCTAAGAATAAGGAAGTGACATTTTAAAGAAGAAAATAAAACATCTGATAGCATATTCACAAGCAGGTTTACTTATGATCTCCTCTCCTCTCAACTGTACAGATCTATATTTGCTCTCAGGACTACTGCCTCACTCCATCCCTTGTAACTATGCTTCAACATCTGGCTTTATTCTCTCTCACTGTCTTAATTCCTCTTCCATAGCAGAATTTGGCTGCTTACTTTTTCTGCTTCACAGTATTATTCACAATAGCCATTAAAGGCATCTGCTGCTGGATGAGCAAAACATAGAGCCAAAAATGCTAGAGGTGAAGGAAATTAGAGGAACACAGAAGGTGAATGAACATTTCATGATGACTCCTACTGCCATGACCTACCCACACACCCCACTTCTGCTGTTTGCTCTTTCATGGTATTTTGATATCTTGCAGCACTGGTTATGAATGCCAATACTCCTGACTTAAGACTCTGTTACTGTGAGAATCAGTGTGAATTTTGCTACAGATTTCAACACTGCCCAGTTTCTCCCCTGCCCTTTTCCTTAACATATTTCCTTTAGAAAGAGCTTCTCTCCAGCTCTGTTGTCTTTCCCCCAACCTTTTATCTAATACAAGAAGTCTGAAACCACAAAGACCATCGGATTCCCTCTACTCTGATCCCTTCTGGCTCACCCCTTTCAGCCCTTCCTTTGGATGCTCTGCCTCTGTTTAACATTTCTCACCAGGCAGGAACCCAGCCCCAGGCTCGTGTTATTAACTCCGATTATTCCCCATGGATACCACCCCATTACCTGAGTGCTATTAGGTTAAGAGTTTAGTCTCCTGGTAGCTTTCCCCCAACATTCCTTTCTAAGAAGTGTTTTGTGCATTTTGTGACTGCATTAGTGATGGGAGGACTGTCCTTGTGCATGGGCTCTGTCAGGCAGGTGAGCAGCAGGAAGAGTCACAGTTTAACTCAACAAATAAAGCATGTGGGAGCCTTAACCTGGAAGGTTTTTTTTTAAATAAAACTTTTCAGTAAAGCACTGCAATGTCAAAATAACTCATGGCCCCAGTGCAGGACTTTCTGATTCCGCATAAAACAGAATTGGCTGAAATCTGCATGGTCCAGTATGCCCCAGATGTTTACAGCTGATGTCATTCTTACATCACTTTACATGTGTTTTGTTCCATCATTGCAACAAAATAAGTCTTTCCTGCCAAGAAACAGAAGTGGTGTTTCAGATGTTTCATTGATAGTGGTAGTGAATCATGAGAACCACATCCTAATTAGGGCAAAATAAAAAAGCCCCATGGAAGTGAGCAGATCTATGCTACACAAGACTCATTTATTGTCTTACCCTGTTGCTGTAGCAGCTCTCCAGGTGTTCAGACAGACTTGCAGTCGAGCAAGGCAAGACCTGCCCAAACAGAAGACAACTTAATCACTGCAAATGTAACAAGCCCACGAGCTCACAGCATTTTATGCACAATAATGAGCAACCCTTTCTGACACCAAGCAAAGATCGGTGTCATCTCCACTCTAGGGAGGACAAAACTGAGGCTGGATGACTTTTACCCTGCAGCAGGACAGATATTACTGGTAGAATTGACAAGGGACTCTGGATCTCCTGATATCCTATGTAGGCAAACCACCTTTCCCTACTACTACCTGAGGTGTCATCACTCCAGAAGAACAGTAATTTCTAATTAACCATTCTCCCCTTCCCTTATTTCTTTTTTTCAACATTTTAAAGCCTAGATTTAAATCAATATACAGAGCCCAGGCAACAAAGTCCTCCAAAGCCTTTTGTGAAGATGCCCACAATATTGTACTTTCAAAAAGGCCAGAACTCTATTCTATGTCAGTAATGGTTCCTATTTTTGTTCTAGTAGGAATAAGAGCTTTTAAGCCTGGTTAGATTTTTACTTAGTAAAAACATTATGCAACATTCTTTCTAATAAAAAATGAAATACAAAAAAACCCCCACTGAATCCTTACCTCTCAATTACTCTCTCTGAGCACTGAAATAGTGTATTTACTGTCATGAACCACATCTCATTGTTTTGAATAGCTTGAAGAGAAGTGGTTTATCTGAAAAACAGAAAAGAAAGCATTGTTGGTTGTAGGTAACTATACAAGATGTATGTTTAGAAGTTCAGAAGGACTGGAGTAGCTGTATTTATTTAAGCTTTTCTTTGTTGTTGTTGTTTCCACTGAGCATTTTAATTGAAAAATACACATGAGAGCTTCTAGAATGTTCAAAAAATATGCCATCAAATGGTATTTTTTAAATTCTACTGAATCCTGAAGTGACAGTAGCAGCTTGGGCCATGTTGCATGAAGTGAAATACTTCTACAGGTTGTGGGATGACAGTGCCGTTGCCATCTAGCTCTCTCTGCAAGGCTGTGGGTGACAGCCTTCAAAGCAGGGCTAAAGGGCTACTCTGCCATTCCCTGTTGCTCCCCTACCACTGTGACCCACAGGAGCACAGAGGGAGTGGGACAGTCATGCCCGCTGTTTTTAGGGTGCAGACCTCATCTTTCAGGGCGGAATTTATGAAGTCTCAACCTTTGTTCTGCTCTATAATGGAAAGTAAAAGCCCTGGCATTATCCACAGACCATTTTTCCTGCAGTTCCTCTGCTGCACATGTTACCCCACAGAGCAGTGGGGAAGTCAACAGCTTCTCTTCATTTGTGTCCTTGGGAAAATGGAGCTACCCTGAGTCTGGAGTCTGAATACCTGGGGTCTCTCCCTGGATCAGTGACCTACTGCATCTCAGAGTCAAGCTCCTGTTTTAATCCGAAAACTCCATCTCTGCCATCAGTGCAATGACATGGGATGATGAAAATCCCCCCCCTGCACCCTGGTTTTAAATACTTCAAGGCTATAATTCCCCTTCACATGACCTCTGAACCAAACCTAGACAGCCCTGGGTTCACACCTCTCTTCATGATGGAAAGTTTTAACAGGTTGTGATGAAGCCTCAATAGCTGAAAGCAAGACAAAGGCATCTTTTAATCGTCAAATTAGCTGGAGGGAAGAGCTGGAACTGCTTTCAGTCAGGAAATAAGGGGAAATCATTAAAGGAAATCATCCCCTTTTCTTTCTCCAAGTAATTAGAAGAACCATCTGCATGTTCATTTCCCCACAGTTAAGGGTGTGGATTAGCATTTCAGAGAGGTTTGAGTTCAACCAGCGATACTTTGATGTGTTCATGTGAATGATGCTAAAATTTCTAAGGCTCTCAATGTTATAAAAGTTAAAAAGGGTACACATGTCGCTTTCCAGTCACTCTTGGTAAATGACTATTCAGCAGAGCCAAATTTACATTTGGAGAACTTTCCTTCTATCTCTAAGAGAATATTTATAAAATAATATGTTCCCATTAAAATAAATACAGTGTTTACATAATGCCCAGCTATAACCCTGCTGGACTATGCAGCACACACTGCCATAATGAAATCAAAATTGTACAAAAGGCTGATGAAATATCCAGATATAAATAAACCTTTTAGTTACGACTGCTTTTACTCTGTGGGGAAAATAACCTCTCAAATATTTCTCCTGTGATTTACAAGGGTGTAACAAAATTTCAGGCACAGAGTCATAAAAACCAAAGCACACTGAAAAGTGAAAATGAAAAAGTTCTACAGCCTTAGTTTGACACACATAAAACAGCAATCTCCAGTGTGGGACCACCTCTGGTTAATCTGGAAACAAATTTTTCCCACTGTGAGTTCTCTGGGTACTATGGAAATCTGCATTTGACCTGAGGCAGAATGGAAATTATAAGATAATATAATAGACTCTACAGACCTCATAGATAAAAGACTAGATCATTCAATACAGCCCTCTCTCCATGATTGAAACTAACTCATATGGATAAGTGAAGCTGAATCCAATTTCCCGAGATCCTTTGTGACTGAATGTACTTGTTCAGGTCATTACACAAAGTTCTGTTCATTTATTTACCAATAAATGATAAACTCCAGCTCCAGCAAGGCCAGAACGGCCCTCTGTGAATCCAAGGCTGTCCTCATCACCCACTGCTATAACTAATCACTTATAACTCGAAATAAAAAATTCATTTCTCTGGAAAAAGAGCTTTGAGAAATGGCCACAGCTTCGAATTTCTCAGCCATATGATGAAATCAGCATCTTTTCCCTTGAAACAACATGAAATTTCCAAGGAAAACCACAACACACAAGAGCTGGGCATGGCAAACCACTGACAGCTCTCACTTCTTACAGACCCCTCTGCTCAGCAGAGCCAGAACCATTGGAATCTGGAATGGGATTCTCCCTGGTCCAGTTTCCAGGACACTTGAATGACATTGTTTTGCTCAGGGAATTGGAAAAGCAAAACAAAAATATACCAAGAGCAAAGGTACAAAACAGAGGTCAAAAAAAAATTTGAATCTGATTTATGAATTTGTCCTTTTTCACCAGCCCTGGACAAGCTTTGTAGTGAACCTGAGCTCCTCCAGTGTGCGGGTTTAATCTTCAAAACACAGCCTAAGGGGGAAAATTGCCACTCAATCTGCAAATGAGGAACTAAAACATGAAGTATCTAAGAACTTTCTCAACAGCAGAAAGAAATAATACTGAAGAGAGAACTCTTAAACTCCCATTACCAACCTCTGCAATAACTTTGTTTCATAAATGAAAACAGAACAAAGAGGATGCTTGTCCAAATGGCAGCAGTTAAAAAAACGAAGAATGATGAGGGAGGAAAGAAGTAATTTATTATTCTGAATTAATTTTACAAAAGAGCTAATGTCATAGTGTCATCTCACCACCACGTCCAGGAGTCTTGTTCTTGAGCAAGACAATATTAAAATGATGTGGCTAATGAACTCTATTGATTAATTCAATTTAAATTAAATGGCATGCTGGGGCATCTCAGCCTGATTGAATTTGAACACACACACATATCCAAAAAGAAATGATGGTCTGTAATGGTCTCTCAGCATTCACGATTTATAATGAGAGAGTTTCCTGCTAAAATAGATCTCAATTAATACAGTAGGATATCCTGTGCCAGAGGTGGGTGTTCACAAGGACTGAATTTAGTCCCCTGAGATGCACCTCCCTGGGGTCTGTCAAACATGAGACTGATGGAAGGTAAGCTAAATTCATCTGTTGAGTGGTTTGGAAACTAAATTTATCAGTCCCTTATCAAATGGCACCAAGTAGTCTGTCCTTGGTTTCACACTTTCAGAGCCTGCATGCCCATCTGTGAGAAGCTGAGAGTTTTTTGTCACTACTCATTTTTTGCAGTTCTGTTAAACCTAATTGATTTAAGAGCTGTTAATATGTCTCAGGATTACATTCTCTGATTAACACCCTTGATTAGATTACTCAGACACCCTTTAACTCACTTTTTAATATATAGCATATACCTTCAACATCAAAAGGGCCTAGAAGGTCAGATCTGAATGAGCAGAGTAAAATAATTTAGTATGGCCACAGTGCTTGCCCACACAAAATACCCCATTACCAGGGGAGCAGCTTCCCTTCTGCCCCATTTCTCTCTGAAGTTAATGCTGCTTGACTGCAATGAATCACAGCAGACAGTGTCCCATTATCAGAACAGCAAAAGTAGTCTATAATTCATAATAAAGCAATTTTTAAGCCCCTTGAAATGCTTTTTGCACTTGGAGTTACTCTCTTTTTTTTTCCCTGCCGTGTACAGCAGGAGCTGCCTCTCTGCAGTCCAGCAGCTCAGTTGCTACACAAAGCTATTTCATCTCACTGAAATGACACACTGCTAGAAGGTACCAAAGTGCTGCAAGAGCTGGGAGGAAGGAGCAAGACAGCAAAGAGACCACAGGAGCTGTGACCAGCTGAAAACCACAATTCACGTTGATGGGGCCCAGAGGAGATGTTCACACACCTTTGCTCATTTGTTAAGGGTGAAACAGAAACAAAGCCCTGGGAGCCTGGAATGCAAGGACTGGGGTGTCTGCACATCCTTGTCATGGCAAAAGGCACATCCAAGCTGTTGGAGCAGTTTGTGTCCATCAGGTTATCGAGTGTCAAACACCCTGTCCATAAAGAGAAGACACAGCTCTGGGAGGCTCAGAGGGGCAGCTAAAAACCCCATAAAATCACCAACTGGGAAGGACTTGCTGGCTCTGGGGATACCTCAGAGGAAAGCTGACATTAGGGATAGAGCTCAAAAAAAGAAGATGAAGAACCAGCTCTGTTGTGTGACTCATTTGTTAACCAGATGTTTCCTGGGTTTTCTAATCCCAAAATAACGTAATCTGTCACAGGAGCCTCCTCCCACTCCCACACATGTACTGTGCTATCACAGCTGTTAAATTTTACAAGTCAATAAAGGTTTGGTGTTGAAAGTTTGGTCTTTCTGCCTAAAATTATGATGCCTAATTATTTTATACAGATGTTATATACGTGTACCCAATTATCTACAAAATACCCACATATCTTGAAAAGGGGAAAAAAATACGAGTAACTAAAAAAATAAGTGACATGGGAAATTTTGGGCAGCCATGAGGCACAGTGACGAGTGAAAAAAGGTGCATGAGAAGGAGCAGGAAGAATCATGTTAGTGGAATATATAAACTATTATTTATGTGCTATATATAAAGCATGAATCATTCATGTTCTCAGTACTTTCACAGTTTGAGCTCAAGCCTCACAAGGGGTATGATTCAGGTATATAAATGAGACTTGAAAGATTTTAATATGGAAGGACAGCAATAGTCCCATGTCAGGAGGATGAAGGGGCAAATTGGGATTATCATATGAGGTGCAGCAATGACAAGCTAACACTGACCACATCTTCCTGCTGTTTCCCTTTGAATAGGTAGCTGTGACTTTTTGAGTCACGAGCTAAGTTAGTGATTCAATTAATTTAAATTGTGTAACAGAAGAATTACAGCAGTAGGTTAATGTGTCTACTCCAGCAGGCTGTCTGGGGTGGTGCCTCAGGGGAGAAGAAGGGAAAAGAGAAACAGTCTATACTGATGCCTTCCTGTGACAGCCTTCCAGAAATAAACACTTCAGGTTCCTTGAAGCCAATGCTTTAATCCAGACAGACTTGTTCCATAGATTCGTCTGTTT